CTTCTTATGGCATCTCTATCTTCGCACCAATCAGAATCTGAATAACTCAGAAATTCTGATTCGATCTTTCTTTCAGACGAAAATAACATTCCATACTTCAGAGTTCCCTTCACATACCTCAGAATCCTGACAACAACTTGGTAATGAGACCACTTTGGTTTACTCATAAATCTGATAATCATTCCAACTGCATAACAAATATATGGTCTGGTATTACACAAAAACTTTAGAGAATCAACTAACTGTTTGAAGGTTGTAGCATCCACATCCTCTCCATCAGAATCAGAGTCCAACTTCTGATTCATATCAGCAGGTGTGATAGCAACTTTGTAATTCTATAGCTCAAATCTCTTCAGAAGTTCAAGTTCATACTTCATGTGATACAAAATGATTCCTTTCTCAGAGTACATAAATTCCATCCCTAGAAAGAAACTCATTTTCCCAAGATCTGTCATCTCAAACGCATTCATCAGAATTTTCTTGAACTGAGTTATCTCTTGTTCAGAACTTCCTGTGAGTAATATGTCATCAACATACAAACAGACCAGAATCATATTACCTTCTGAAGTGTGCTTAACATAAACACCAAGCTCCATCTCACACTTATGAAACCCTTGTTCCTTAAAAACGAATCAATCTTCAAATTCTAAGCTATAGGCGCTTGCTTCAATCCATACAAGGCTTTGTTTAATTTGAACACTATCCCTTCTTGATTATTTTTCTCAAATACAAGAGGTTGTTCTTCTTGTAATGGACCATTCAGAAATGTAGATTTTACATATAAATGCATCAGAGGCCAATTCCTGTTAGCAGCTACTGCAATCACTGGTCTGATTGTTTCATGTCTCGCTACAGGTGCAAACACTTCAAATTAATCCATCCCAGACTTCTGTAGAAAGCCTCTTGCTACTAATCTTACTTTGTGTTTGCCAATTGATCCATCTGGCTTTAGCTTCTGCTTGAAAACCTATCTGACGCTGATGGCTTTCTTGCCTTTTGGAAGTCCTGCCAGCTTCCAAGTCTTGTTTCTCTCTATAGCATCAAGTTCTTCTTTCATGTCCTGTAGCCAAAACTGATGCTTAAGAGCCTCTTCCGTACTCACGGGTTCATAGTCTACTAACATTGCACACTGAATAACTTCTCCTTCAGTGTCTTGCAACATGTTAAACTCTTCAAATCATCTTGGGATGATTCTGACTCTTTGTTGCCTCTGAACTGAATCTTCAGAACTTTGGACATCAGAACTTTCCCCTTCAGAACCACTTGCTTCAGAAATTGGACTTTCTCAAGAACCTTAACTGTCTTCAGATTCTGGATCACCATCAGAGTCAGAGTCACAATCATCTTATCCTTCTGTATCTTCTTCAGAGTCACAGTCTTTACCAGCTTCAGAAATAATAGTTTCTGACTTTTCTTCAAAAGTTCTCTCATTAGAGTCAGGACGAGACCTTTCCAAATTCCAAACTTCATTCCTTTACAATGACGTCTCTGCTGAACTAAACTTTGTTAGTTTCTGGACAATAAAGTTTGTACGAACATGTACTGTGGTACCCCACCAGCAACATCACTTTACTTCTACCATTCAACTTCTGTCTTCTGGCTTCTGGGACATATTTGTAACATACAGAACCAAACACCTTCAGATGACTAACACTTTGCTTATCTCCAGCCCACTTCTGAATAAGAACTATTTCCTTCAATTTCTTCGTTGGACATACGTTGAGCACATAACATGCAGTTGCAATAGCTTCTCCCCATAGAGTATGAGGAAGCTTCTTCTCTTTCAGCATGCTTCTCACCATATCAAGCAAAGTACGGTTTTTTCTTTTAGAAAGACCATTGTATTGAGGAGTATAGGGAGAAGTAACCTCCTGCTCAATTCCATTCTCCTCACATAATCTTCTGAATTATGTGGAGTTATACTCACCACCACCACCCGTTCTAAGAATCTTCAGAGTCTGACCACTCTGATTCTCAACCTTTAGTATGAACTTCTTGAATTCAACAAACACCTAGTGTATAAACTTTATGAGAGATACCCATGTCATTCTGGTGAACTCATCAACAAATGACACAAAATATTTATTTCCTCCAGTTGATGCTACTGGAAAAGGACCGCACACATCATAATGCACTACTCCCAAGGCATGTTTTGCTCTTAGAGCTACTTCTGATGCAAATGATAATCTTGGTTGCTTCCCTTCCATGCACACCTTGCATGACTTTTTAGGCTTCTTGATTGTAGGAATTTCATGTACCAGATTCTTTGATTTCAGATGCCCTAAACTTCTAAAATTCAAATGACCAAATCTTATGTGCCACAACTCACTCTCCTTGACAATACTTGTTGCATTAAGACATTCAGAGTCTGCAGTTCTAACATTCACCTTGAATATTCTGTTCCTTCCCTGTTCTGACTCCATAATCAGCTTCTGATTACAGTCATACAGCTTCAGAAGATTTTCCTTCATGGTAACTAAAAAACCTTTCGCAATCAGTTGTCCTACACTCATCAGATTGCTTTTCATGCCAGGTACATACCATACATTCTGGATCACTGCAGCTTTCCCATTGTTTAGAATGATTCTGACATTTCCCATACCTTCTGTATTGAGGTATTTATCATCAGTACATCTGATATTTGTACTCTTCCCAGAGTCAAAATCAACCAACCATTTCTTGTTTCCAGTAAGATGGTTTAAACACCCTGTGTCCATATACAACCATTCTGATGAATTCAGATCATTAGGTTCAGAAGCCAACAATAGCACAGGTTCATCATCTGACTCTCCTTTGGATATATTTGCTTCTTCTTACTTCCTTTCTTTGTTTGACCAACAATCATTGGCATAGTGACAAAAGTTCTTGCAATAGTAACACTGAACATTCTTCTTGTCAGACTTCTCCTTTCCCTTCTGGACATTCTTCTGCCTATCAGAGTTTGAAGCTTCTGACCTTTGACCACCCTTAGCTTTCTTTCTGGCTTCTGACCAAGTCTGCTTCTGATACTTCTTACCAGAAGTTACTTTCAGAGCCTGATGCTCTACTTCCCTCCCAGAAGTTCTCGCAGTCATACGCAACTCATGCGCCTCTAGACTACTTTGCAGCTCTTCAACTCTCATGGTGCTCAGATCTTTGGAATGTTCAATTGTTACCACAATGTAATCAAAATGAGAAGTTAAAGATCTCAAGATCTTTTCAATGATTACTTGTTCAGAAAGAGTTTCTCCACAAGATTTCATCTCATTAGTGATCAGAATCACTCTAGAGATGTACTCAGAAACCTTCTCGTTGTCCTTCATGTTGAGATTCTCATATTGCTTTCTGAGAGACTGAAGCTTCACCTTCTTCACTGATGCGTCACCACCGTAACATCTGACTAGTCTGTCCCACGTAGCCTTTGCTTTTTCAGAATCAACAATCTTCTCCAACACGTCTGCATTAACACATTGATGGATGTAGAACAACGTCTTCTGATCTTTCTTCCTTAGAGCCCTATGTGTTATCTTTCGTGCCTCTGTTGCGTCTGCTTCTAACAGATCATAGCCATCAGTGACAATATCTAACACATCTTAAGAACCAAATAATACGCGCGTCTGAATCTTCCAATGATTCCAGTTTTTGCCATCAAATACTGGAAGTTTATAATGGACATCATCGTTGTTTCCGTTCATCTTCTACCTTGTACAATGTACGCAGAAACTCAATAAAGAAGTGTTTCCCAAATCCCCAGAATTAGAAACAACGATTATCACACAGCACCTCACTGTTCTCTCGTGTTTCCCGTTTTTCCCGTGGATTTCGAACCGGAGCTCTGATACTAATTGTTGGTGCACAAAGAAGAGATAAAAGATAAAAAAATATATTAAATGACGGCTACAAAAATAAGAAATAATGATTTACAATAAATTACATTGAGCTACCTCACTAGACTATTTATACACAAAATAAAATCTTAAATATCCTCTAACAAAAATATAAAAAGATATAATAGTATCCTGTAAAAAGATATTTTTAAAATATAGATTAATATCCAAAATATATTCCTAAAATATAGATTAAATCTAACACCAACAATAAAATAAGTTTTTCTGTTGTTGTCTTGATTATTATTTTTTATATAAATTGCATATTCTATGTGTATAACTGTATAAATTGTTTCTGGGAGTATGAGAAAAATATAATATAATAGATGGTAAAACTCTCATTGATTAGCTTTATAGCATATTAAAAAAATTCTAATTATGATGGACCGGAAAGAGAAAATAAAAAGAAGCATGAGAAGAATGTCAAAACCATTTAGGGTTCTTCTTAACTTCAAATATTCATATTTGAGATCAATTATTTTTAATTGTTAGCACACTTATTAATAATTGAATGCTTACATAGATTTTTTTCTTTCTCAAGTATGCTTTTCATTCTTTAGAAATAAAATGTAGCCTTTTTTTAGAGGCTATTAGAAGGTTCAATCACACAATCAAGGATGGCCCATGAAAATCTTATGACTAAGCCAATCACCATGTAACTTGCATATCTTGTTTTGTTTAATCACAAACAACACATTATTTTGATGCTATATTACTTACAAGAAAGAAGTTAGAACATCTCTAAAAACTCTTTTACCAAATAATGTTATCGGTGTTAAGAAACACTAGCTTTATTAATGAAATCTCTTCTTCAATTATGATTTTTCATCCCTTTAACTCGAACACAAATCTTTTTAAGTGATCCAAGTTCACTTCGATTCAAACATTATAGAATATCATAAAATTGAAAAAAAAAAACCATGTTGATTCTTTTTTTTTTTTTAACAGTGCAATCACTAGTTATTTCTAATTGAATTTGTATCAAAATTCACTCAATAATAATGTAACAATTAATAATGCTAGTACCTAGAATTATACCCCACCAAGTTTCCTATAAATTGTGAGCACCAAGGTGAGAATGTCATTAACTTCTTTCAAAAAAACATAACTTGAAAACCTTAGTCATAGAAAAACATGAAATCACTCTTTCATCATGAAGTAATTTGTTGGTGTTCTTTCATAGCCATCCTCTTACAACACGTTTCTTCTGTGAATCTACCAAACAATGAAACAGTGCCAGCAGTTTTTGTGTTTGGTGACTCTTTAGTTGATCCAGGAAACAACAACTATGTCACCACTATTGTCAAATGTAATTTTCCACCATATGGTAGAGATTTTCAAGGAGGAAATCCAACTGGTAGATTCAGCAATGGTGTAGTCCCATCAGACATCATTGGTACACAATTCCATGTTCTTTCATAAGACAACATAACAAACTTGTTTGTTACTATAAATCTTCTTTGTTCAATTTCTTAACAAACTTTTTTGTTGGTTCATTTTCAGCTGAAAAATTTGAAGTCAAGAAGATTTTACCTGCCTATCTTGATCCTAATTTGCAACTTCATGATCTCCTCACTGGTGTAAGCTTTGCCTCAGGTGGTGCTGGATATGATCCTCTAACCTCCAAAATAATGGTAATCATGTAGCGCTAACACTTCAGATTGAACGTGTGTTTGGTGTCTGACACGGACACATGTTACATTTTTTTAAGCATATTTGAATTAAATGTAACTCAAAATTTATGTCTCTTTGTGTTATAAGTCTGTGAAGTCATTATCAGATCAATTAGAATGGTTCAAGGAATACAAGAAGAAGATGGAGGAAGCAGTTGGAAAAAAGAATATGACATTGATAATATCAAAGAGCATATACATAGTATGTATAGGAAGTGATGACATTGCTAATACTTATACTCAAACACCATTCAGGCGCGTCCAATATGATATTCCAGCATACACGGATTTCATGGCTTCTGAAGCCTCAAAATTCTTACAAGTAAGTTTTTGAAACACAACTATTAAACTTTCAAGACCGTCTTAAGTTTTTGAAAGCTCTGTGCTGATTAACTACGATTCAACTGTAAATAAACAATTAAGAGTCCTATTTAGTAATGCTTTAACCATGACAAATATATTATGAAGTCTTAAAAAAATTTAAGACCTGCACTGTAGTTTACCTTGCATGCCCTCAGACGATCCTGAGTAAGGATATGTTATATTATGTTATGTTGCCCTTGTACTAAAGTCAAATTTAGGTAGAGCAATGTTAGACAAATAACAAAAATCTTATGATAATATTGCTATTTACAGCTAAAATTTTCTGTTCATACTAAACATCATTTTCTTCTATCATTACATCATAGGAACTATATGGAGAAGGAGGTAGAAGGATTGGAGTATTCAATATACCCGTTATAGGGTGTGTCCCTTCACAAAGAACACTCAATGGAGGCATTTTTAGAGAATGTTCAAACACTTCTAATAATGCAGCAAAACTCTTCAACAATAAGCTCTACTTGAGAATGAAAAAACTTGAGAGAAACTATTCAGATGCTAAATTTGTGTATCTTGATTGTTACAATCCATTCTTGGAGATCATTCAAAATCCTTCTAAGTATGGTTTCAATGAGACAGAAAAAGGATGCTGTGGTACAGGGAATATAGAAGTTGGAATATTGTGCAATCGTTTCAGCATAAACACATGTTCAAATCCTTCAGATTATGTGTTTTGGGATAGTTATCATCCTACTGAGAAGGCTTATTATGCACTTAGTGCACTTGTGCTTGATAACAAAATCAAGGACTTTTTCTAATTAAAAACACTTTCCTTTTTATTATCCTAAAATTGAAATAATGTGATTTTAAGAGTGTGGAAAAGTAAGTAACCCTGATATTTAGTTGATGGATTTATGGTTCCTTTGTTATGAGAATATATATGGAGCATGTTTATTTCAATTTTGTTCCAATTTTGTATGTCGTACCTACTCTCTTTGGTTTGAACAACTCTCAGGTTAGGATGATATTCTAAATGTTACTATTCAAATTGAGAAATAATTACTTAGTTACATAAAGAAATAAAATTTTGATAGTATCAAAAAATCTTTTCAAAAATACATAATCATAGAAAGGAATTGTAGTTTTATATCAATGCTCTTAAAAGTAAAGTGATATGTGTATATAGTTAAGTTTATATGAATATTCTCCGTCTATTTAAATATGTACGAGGTTCGTCTTGCCTTTTAACTCTTTATTTTTTCAAAGAAAATATTGCATGTTTGCCTTTTAACTCTTTATTTTTTCAAAGAAAATATTGCATGTTTAGATTAATGATGAACTTTTTAAAGCTTTAAATTGAAGTCTTAAAATAAAATCAACGTGGCTTCACAAATTCAAAAAGTTCACCAATAACACTTGTTATGGATCGGTCACAAGTCTAAAAAAAAAAAAGCCTAATTGTGAGATCAATTTTGAAATATTTATTTAATGGATAAAGGAACCGGTGAGGCCTCGCCAACAAACATTTGATTGCACGTACTAGTGCATAGTTTGTCGTCAGATCTGATCAGACGAATCCTCGCATTTCATGCTAGGCTAAACGAAAGTAATTTTAACTATCTATCATATATAAACCACGATGCACTATTTTAGGTATTATCTTCTCTCAAACTACACCTCATAGACTTCACTTACTTGGGCATTGAAATGTTAATTTTGCAGGTCCACCCTGCCTCATCGCACCAGAAGCTCTTGCCGCCACACAAGCAGAGCTCGTTCCCTCATCATTACCTATTTCTTGTTCCACCTCAGAACGATGGCACCGTATTTGGGAATCGATTGTTGATTCCCTCGAATTCGTGCAAAAACAATTGTCTCTTCACTTCTCATCTGCATCTTTTTGCTCTCGCGTTTGGTCGATCTTACATAAATCATGGCAACATCCAAGTCTACTCGACTAGTCAACCAACATAATATCATTATAGTTGCGACACTTAACACTCTTGGTCCACCAAGAGAGGCTCTACCTCTTCTAACATTAGGAACTGATCCAGTTCTAGTGACTTCTCCTTCCATTCCAACTCCTCAAAATCCAGGAACTGATCCAGTTCTAGTGACTTCTCCTTCCATTCCAACTCATCAGAATCCACTTCCTTTGTTTGTTGACCATAGCTCATTCCACATCCTCTAGACTTTTCAATATTCTCACTAGTTGCTGCAACATCAAACCTCCAAACAACTTCCACTACAACTTTCGGTTCTTAAACAAAAGACACTCTAGAGCCTCTAGCAGCTCCAATCCAACCTAGACATGCAAGGAGCCCATGAGCTACTCGATAATGTTTATTGTTGACCAAGTGACTTCAAACACAAGAGGGAGTGAATTGTGTTGATTGAAAACCAAAACCAATTTATAAAAACTTTTATCTTTAAGAAAATTTTATTATTTTTTACTTACTAAAATTACAATACATAACAACCTCTAGTGATTAAGGTTGTCATAGTCTTTTAGGGTTTGAACTAGGGTTTAGAGCTAGCTAACACATGGAGGCGAGAAACTCTATGTATATAGTATTTATATGAATATGAGATTGTTCTCTCTTAACTTCAGGATTGACGTATTAATAATTGCACTAGACATGGATTTTAGGCTACGTGGGAATAACAATCACTTATGAGATAATGTGGGAGTGGATAACTAATCCCATATTATTCTGGATAGTGTAGTTAATTTTTCCATAATTCTTCTACATTGTAGCAGATCAGGAATATGTCACTCCCCATATTGCATGATTCAGGAGAGTCATCTAGAAAATGAGCGAAATATTCGAGAAAAGGTTATCACGTCTAGTAAACGGGCGCTCGATCTAGGAAACAGGAAATCAACAAGATATTACAAGTAAGATACTGCATCAATTTCCTCCGATATCGTTCTTATAATCCCTTTACAAATATACTAATACATAATTCGATTAACACCCATAAATATTGCAGCGAGGATAAAGAGAGAAGATGGAGACGAAGAAAGATACACAACAAAAATAACATATATATAAGAAAAATAAAAGAGAGGAGAGATAGAGATAGTGCACCAAATATTTATACAGGTTTGGCCTAACCACTTATCCTACTCGTGTCCCCAAGAGTTTTCTCTTGAGAGTTTCATAACCACACTTATGTTTTTTTCACGATTTGCACACGACCCTTCAACAACAAAATTGTTTTTTTACACTAGTTAAGCTCAATAACCAACAAACAAAATTTTTACATGGCCTTTGATAAGGAACCTTTAAATAGAGCTTTTACACAAGACAAACTCAATAGCCTACAAATAGAGTTTTTATACAAGTCAACCACAAGAACATACAACTAATATTTTATACACATTTATCTTAAAATCTTTATAAAATGATTCTACTAAAGAATCACACTCTTGGATACTACAAAACTCTCATAAGGGCTTTTCGATCTTTAGGCACTACGAAAATCTTTATGAAAATCAAATATGAAAACAGAGAGAGTAGAAGAAGGATAAACGACTTTCTAATTAGAATTTTTGTGTATAACGAAATGAAGAGAATCCTCCTTTATATATGAAAAAATTAGGCTCAAAATGAAAATAACCCATGTGACATTTTAATGACTTAACCGATTAACTCCAATTGTTAATCGACTAAGGGCTTTCAAAATATGACAACCCTAATACAAAAAACGAAACCTAAAATGGCTAGATGGTTTAATCGATTAAAAGCTTTTCTAATCAATCAAGAGGTTATTTTCCTTGCTTAAATCAATTGGATCAAGTCCTTAATTGATTAGGTAGCATGATAACTTCCTCAATTAATTAGAAACAACTCTTAATCAATTCCAAACAAGTCTTAATAGGTTTTCAAGAAATTTTATAAGATTAGATAGGGTTTTAAAAACTTTTATGTGTGTGATTGTCATAGTACTTCAAGACTTACTCTTGGCCTTTTACAATTAAATTGATCACTCTAAGATACTAAGTGCATGATAAGGCGTGCTTTCTCATTTTCATAAGTTCAGATCATCATATGGAAGTTGAATCTTCATAATTATGAGGCTTGAGATATCTTCTTAATCACGTGCCATCATCAGGAAACTTTATTTGACCGTTGGAATCAACTCCCTCTGACATAGAGAACTTTGAACATCCTAAAAGCCATTTTGTTGGTGTAAGCCCTAGAGGCCAATACTTTTGGTACTTGTATCGAATTATTTATTAATAATAAAAGGCATTTCTTTATTATGTTTGCTTTCCAAAATAATAAAGTCCCTAGAATGGTTTATTTGTTTAATGAAATGTTAAGTGTGACTTAATCATGAGATCCCATTAAACATAAGACATTATTCTTAAAGTATCCATAGTCAAGCTTTAATGTGAAGTGGGATAACATTAAAGCATTAAGATTATTATGAAGATAGATTGATGATCACATCTCATGGATCATAGATAAGGAGTTATCAAGTCTTGACATAGGTATGAATATTAGGAGTAATGTTTATACTGGATTGACCCGCTATGAGAATACTACATAGAATGTTATGCAGAGTGTCATCAGTTATTCTCATGATGATAATGGTGTATACCGCCCTTCAATCTGAAACCACTATGGACCCTAGATGTAGAGTCAAGTACTTTATTGCTGATCAAACGTCATCTGTAACTGGATGACTATAAAGACGGTTGATGGGTACTTCACAAAGCATGCTAAGGGACATGAGTGACCTAGATGGAATTTGCTCATCCTGCATAACAGGATAAATGTCTAAGGGCCCAATATTGAACTGGACAAGGGTGACACAGTGTATGCCTTGTGTTCAATATAAACATGAGGGCAAAAGGGTAATTGCACAACACAAATATTATCACGGAAAAGGTTTGGTCAGATCACATGACATTTTCGTGACTTGGGTAACAGTGATGTGTTGCTAGATACCGCTCACTGTTTATTATATTAAATGTGTGATTTAATATAATTTCCAACGTCGTGAAAACCTACAGGGTCACACACATAAGGACAGGTTGATGAGAGATAGAATAAATAAGGAACACCGTAAGGTACGATGCACTTAAGTGTAATACGGAAAGTGGTAAGGTACCACGTGGACAAGTGATATATGGTACATCATAAGGTATAATGTCCATAAGCTTAATTGGACTTTTAGCTTATAGCCTTAATTGGGCTTTTAGTTTGTAGCCCACACGAGTGATTCTATAAATAGATCCCTTGTGATGAAGCAATTTCACTTGATGCAATTTCGTTTTTGATTCTCTCTCTCACTCATAAGGTTTCCGTTCGTGATCAGCTAGCACTGTGACCGGAAGCGATATGTTCGTGTGGACTGAGTAGAGGCGTTGTTCTTCATCAACGCTCGTGATCACAACATCAAAGCTCTTAATCGCCACAAGAGGTAAATATTTCTATCACTGACCATGCTCATTCGTAAGGATCGCTAAAGGAAAATTTTAAATTCCGCTGCGCTTTTGATCGCAATTTTCCTTCACATTTGACTTATGGATTTGTTTATCTTCAAAGTTGCTTCATCAGTTGTCGTGTCAAAACTAACTGATGGTTATACTTGCAAGCATATAGATCCATATTCTTCCCCATTTCTGATGATGACAATGCAACTCTTAGAGATGTGGTAAAAAAAGAAAATGTCTGATAAAGATTTAGAGTGATTAAACCCCCTCACAAATAAAAAGAGTATACTATACTCCTCCCGAGAGTATAATTTTCCCTCTTTGACATATTAAAAAAGGAGTAGAAAAAAGTGAAAGCGCATATATCATAATAAAAAGTGGGAAACTTTTAAAAAAATAATCAAGGCATATATTAAGCGATAAATAAGAATGATGAAGCATTTAATTCAAAAGACTTATTCATTCACAAGTAAAGAGTTGCAAGAAGGGAAACACAAAACATGAAAGGAAGGAAAAAAAAAGTAAAGCAGATAAAGGCTACTAATTATCCTCATCGTCATCACTAAATAACCTAAGAGGAAGATGTGTTACAGTTTCAACAAGCTTGCGGGACAAATAATCAATTTTGGCAATGACTCCTTATTTTGATTAAAATTTTCATCGACTATTCATTTTTATAAATAAAATCCAAAGTGTTTCATAATTTTCATATTCAAGTGACCATATGGAAGCCATGAAATCCCTTTCTCCGACATTCTATCATGTGATAGATCACCAAAATCGCCCAATTAGTTTCAAACTTGTTGTCTAGTAACCAAGTCAGAACGACACCCATTTAAGAGACTTTCGCAAGATTAAACTTTCTTGAGATTAGAATGTGGGTTGCCATATAGTTTATGACAAGAATTTTTTGAATGCACATATCCAACATTGTGGTGAAATTTGTGACCCTCGTTCATATTTGATAGAAGAGATTGAGAAGAAAAAATATAATTAAAATGTTCAACTAATTTTGGAACCTCTAGCTTGTAGAGAGAGTGGGATCAAGGAAGATCACAAATAGAGGAAAACTCTTCCACACACATAAAGATATATAGATAGATAAATAGATATATAGATAGATAGAGAGGGATGGAAAGATAGGGAGAGATAGAGAGAGCGAGAAGATAGATTTCTTGATTACATACTTATGATTTAATGAGTCTATCTTCAAAGTTGAGATGAACATAAAATATCTTCATTAATTTTGGAAACATCTCTTCAAGCTTGCTGCAGAGGAAGTTCATCATATTAGATTGAATGAAAGCATCAAAGAATTTGAAATTTCCGTAAAAGATCTCATCCACAAAGTGAAATGGAGTGATATTATTCGCAACAAATTTTCTAATAAACTTTTCTTCTTGCTTTTGAGAGGAAAATTGTTTGAGACGTATATTGGATCAAAGGAACTTCTAGATGTACAAACTCTTTAGGGTATGATTATAGTAGTGATTATAAAGATTTTGTTGGATAAGTGACTCCAAACACAAGAGGGGGTGAATTGTGTGGGTTTTAAAATTCGTTTCCAAAACAAAATCTTTAAGAAAAATAGATTTTGAAATACGTTTGTAAACCAAACAAGATAAAAGTAGCGAAAATAAGAAAATCAGATAGATGGAAATGCAAAGGAAATAAATAATTGGAAATTAAATAAAATCATTAATGAAGATTTCATAAGATCCCGAGAAATTGTAAAATCTAAC